ATACATGGTCAAGCAAAATGATTTGGCCATTTCCCCAAAATTAATGCTCCAATCTTCACCCTGAGTCTATCACCTCTCCATTAGTATGTGAATAGTATATTTCATCATAAGTCCTCTGAAATTATGGTTGGTCATTGTGTGGATCAGGGTTCTAAACTCTTCAGTGAGGCCTTTATCAGGCCTCATATTGAAATATATATTTTTCCCTGAATTACCTACCTTCTGGAGGTAATAGAGAGTCTAATTAAATATAAAATTCTCTGTTTGGCTTTTAAAACTCTTGATAACCTAGTCTCTTCCTACTTTTCTGGTCTTATTCTTATTTCCTTACACATACTCCCTAAGATACAGTGACAATGACCTCCTTGCTATTCTTGTACAATACACTCCATCTCCCACCGCTGGCATTTTTACTGGTTGTTTTCTATATCTGGAATGCTTCTCCTCCTGCATCTCTGCCTCCTGGCTTCCCTGATTTCCTTCTTTAGCTAAATTCCAACCTTTGACAAGAACCCTTTCCTGGAGATTCTTATTGCTTCTGCAGTTAATTCCAATTTATGTTGCACATATCATGTTTTCATATAGTTGGGCATATGTTGTCTCCTCTTTGCATTATGCATTCCTTCAGGGAAAGGACTGTTTTTACCCTTCTTTATATCCATAGCACTTAGTGTAATGCCTGCCACATAGTATTTAATAAATTGTTGATTTGGCTTGCTACTCTTCTAGTTTTAGCTGCATAAGTTTTGTCTGTATAAAAACTTTTAAATTTTATATGACTAAAATTATCCATTTTATATTCTATGATTTTCTCTTTTGCTTGTCTCATTGTTAATTCTTTCCCTATCCATATATTTAAAATGTACTTTCTTCTTTGTTCTTTGCTCCTCTAACTTATTTATGATACCATACTTTATGTCTGAATCTTGGAGCTTATCTTGCTATATAGTGTAAAATATTGGTATATACCAAGTTTCTGACTGTTTTCAAGTTTTCAGAGTAGTTTTTTTTTTTTATAAATAGTGAGTAGCTGTGGTATTTAGGTTTATCAAACATTGGGCTACTGTGCTTATTTACTTTGATATACTTTGTCCTTAAATCTGTTTCACTCATTGGCCTCTCTATTTGTTAAGCAGAGTCAAATAATTTGGGGGCAGGGGGCAGTTAGGTGGCACAATGGATAGAGTGTCAGCCTTGGAGTCAGGAAGACCTGAGTTCAAATCTGGTCTCAGACATTTACTGGCTGTTCAACCATGGGCAAATCACTAGACCTGTTTGCCTTGGTTTCCTTATCTATAAAATGAGCTAGAAAAAGTAAATGGCAAACCACTCTAACACCTTCGCCAAGAAAACTCCAACTGGTGTCACAAAGAGTCAGACACACCTCAAATGGCTGAATAACAACAAAGTATAGTTTTAGATCTGGGACTGATAGGCTCTCTTTCTTCCACTATTTTTTTCATCATTTCCTTTGAGATTTTTTACTTTGGATTAATTTTGCTATTATTTTTTCTAGGTCTGTAAAATGATGTTTTAGTAGTTTGTTATGGAATTGGAAAGTAAATTAATTTTGATAGTGCTATCACTTTTCTTATATGAGCAATGAATGTTCTTCTAATGATTTAGATCTATCCTTATTTGTGTAAACAGTGCTTTATATTTACATTCGTAGAGTTCCTATATGTCCTGTCAGGTGTAGACTCCCATGCATTTTACACATTCTGTAGTTGTTTTAATGAAATACTTTTATCTTAATGCTAGGTTTTGTTGGTAATGTACAGAAAGGCTAATTGTTTATGTGGGTTTATTTTATATCCTACAACTTTGCTGAAGTTATTGTTTCAATTAACTTGTAGTGTTTTCTAAGTAAAACATCATATCATCTGCAACAAGTATTGATAGTGTTTCCTCTTTGCCTTTACTTATGCTCTCAATTTCTTTTTCTTGTCTTGTTGAGACATTTGCCATTTCTAGCACTATTTCAAACAAGGAACAGTGATAATAGACATGCTTGCTTTACTCTTAATCTTACTGGAAAGGACTCTAGATTGTCTTCATTACATATAATTCTGGTACTTGATTTCATATAGATTCTACTTATCTCAAGGAAAGATTCATTTATCCCTATGTTTTCTAGTTTTGTTTTGTTCTTAACAGGAAAGGATCTTGTATGTTGTGAAACCCCTTTTCTATACCTATTAATATTTTGCAATGGGTTCTGCTGCTGTTTTCTCTGAGTATTTCATCTTGTCTTCTTCAGGGATTTCAGGGGAAACTCAGGCTAGTAACCTAAAAACTTTAAGTGGATCCAAGGTGGTCTGATCACTGCCCTGGCCTGATCTTTGCAAGGTGCTGACATAAATTTGGGTTTGTGGAAAACAACTGTGTGTTTGCCAATGTTTAACATTCTAGCTGACTGCTAGTGGACCTATCTACCAGCAAACAACTAGCTGAAAGGCTGCGAGTTCATGACAGGCTTTTCCTCAGTCTGAGCTCCCTGCCCTGGTTATTCCATGGTAGGTTTCAGATTGAGCACTGGGTTGATTGTCAATTTTGTTCTTACCCTTTGCTCAATACACAGGAACAGGTCTAAACCTCAGTACTCACTTGATTTGTGACCCAAATCTGGGGTAAGAGTTAGAGCTTACAGTTGGCACCTGTTCCTGTTCTCTACGCAGCTTTAGGAATCTTTGTGCTATATCTCAAACTTTTCTTGTCTTAGCACATAGTCCTGAGCTCCAGTTCAATTTTTAACCGGCAAACTCCATGGAGTACTCTGACAGATGAACCCCATCTTTTGTCTACAGATGTTTCTCTCTCACACTCTCTAAGCTGACCAAGGCTGAAAAGATGACTCACTGATTTTTCCTCGGATTCCCTATCAAGATTGTGTTTTGTGTATTTTTCATGTCTTTAGAGAGTAGTTGTGAAAGTGTGTTGGCCTGCACTATTTCCTCTGATATGCTATCTTGAACTGTCTTAAACCTGTATTTCTCAATTTTGTATGAGGAGAGGACTTTTGCTGAGATGTGTGTGGGAGGGGGTTAGGGATTGTATCTGAAGTTTGAGAAAAGAAGAGAAGAGCATAAGAAGAATATAAATTTCATTTTTTAATATATCCCTTTCCACCTTCCCCATCCAGTGAGCCATCCCTTGTAACAAATATTTAAATGTTGTAAAAGTAGAAAGGGGTGTGAGGTACTTTGATAATATAATTTCTTTCTGTTGTTTGCCCTGATGCTATGCTGAATACTATAGAAAGGCAACTGCAAAAAAGTAAAAGGAATGCCTTACCTGAGTGAGGGCTTAATTTAAATTAACTAATATGTATAACAACGATTGTTTCCAGACCTGGGGAGCTGAGTCACTCATCCTTTTTCTCTTTGTGAAAGGGACTCTCTTAGTTCTGGACTCAAACACAGACACATTGCCAGGGCTCAATTCTAGAGAATCTGGCATCTAGAGAAAGGAGTTAGGCTGTTTCTTGAACATCCTGGTTCTTTTTAAGCCCTGTCCAGCCATACCCAGGACCCACAGGAAAGATTATTTAAAGCTCAGCTTTGATTCAATCTAGTATCTCTAAAAAGAAAAGGCATGGAGTATAAAGCTATTCAACACAAAGTGTACAAGGTACAGTCACTTAGAGCACAAAGAATAGGTTTAGAAGGAGTGGAACATTTTATTCAACACTTACTAGCTGTGTGTTTATGGATCAGTTTTATCTCTCAGTTTCCCAGGTAAGTCTCTGTTTTAGAGAAAGATTGTAGATACATACCATTGGATGAAGTTTGCATACTTGGAGCACCCTTCATTGATTAAATTCTTGGTCCAGACCCTGCACCACCCTAAAAATGTTTATTGTCTGATATTTATTTCAAAAGTATTATTTTAAAATATTACAGATGTACAAAGATTGTATGCAGTACTTTGACAATAGATTTTTTTTTTTCTGAGGCTTTCCTTCTTGAGGATCTATAATAATTGATATCTCCAGAGGATGCCAAACACACTGAGATGCTTCGGCTACTAAAAAAATGAAGAAATCCCCTTTAATCATCTGAGAATCAAATAATTTAAAGACTGACATTCAGGAATCATATAGCTAGAGCAGGAAGCTGGTTATATATGATGCTGCTTATAATGACTGCATCATATTTGTATTGCCAGCTCCTGCTGTTTTTCCTTTTTTTCTCTTTCCTTTTTCTTTTCCTTTTTTTTTTAACCAGAAGAACCTAGTTCAGTAGTTGGAAACCTGCAGCCTCGAGGTCACACGTGGCCTCCCTCTAGCTTCTCAAGTGTGGCCCTTTGACTGAATCCAAACTTCACAGAACAAATGCTCTTAATAAAATTATTAATCATAATAAAAAAAAGTCCAAATTGTAAGGTTGGGTCACACAGCTAGTAAGTGTCAAGTGTCTGGTCAGAGGTCACATTTGAACTCAGGTGCTCGTGACTCCAGGACGGATGCTTTACCCACTTCACTACCTAGCTGCCCTGCTTATAGCTGTTTAACATTACAAAAAGTATTGTTTCATTTTATCCTCACAACAGTCCTATGAGTTAGTCTGTAATACAACGCACTACGAAAGAAGATGATTTTTAAATATTTAGGTGCTCGCTTGATGTTCCATCTTTTTTCTACTGCAAATAAGCCTCTCCCCTGATATCTAATTTTTTTTTGAATCTACTCTCTGAAATCTTGCAGCTTCTATCCTAAGTGAGTATCCAGTAGTGTATTATAAATACAGTGGGTACATAGAACAATGAAACAGAGCCAGGTGTCCTTCCGTTTTACCTTTCCACCTCCACCACCCTGGCTCAGCATCCTTTAGCTTTGAGCTGGAGCGCTAAAGCCGGGAAGGGGAAGCGGATTGGAGGGAGCCCTGGCCAGTCACAGGGAGGCGCGGCCCCATCGCTATGGTGACGGGTTAGAGGAGGAGGAGGCTTTGCCGGCACCTGGTGCTGGGGCTTGACGCGCAGGCGGCGAAGCGAAAGGAGCTATGTCGGACACACGGGAGAAGGCTGCAGACCGGACGGTATTCGTGGGAAATTTAGAGACTAGGGTGCGAGAGGAGATTCTCTATGAACTGTTCCTGCAGGTAACAAGCCTTCTTTCCCCTAGGAGTTTGCGGAGGAGGTGCGGACAAGACCTGCGGGCCTAGTCCTGCCCCTGGCCGGGCTGGCCTGGGAGAGCCCAGGCCAAATATAAAACACCGCCTCTTCTGTTTTGCTGACTTCCTATTCCTCCTGCTTCTGCTTTAAAAGTCCAGTCTCGGTAGCCCTAACCTCAGGCACTTAGGGCCAGGTGTAAAGGGTTGAAGTTGCGTGTAAGGCAGAATAATGCCATGGGAGGCGTTCATAGGCATCTCAAAGGTAAAGGGATTGTGTAGAACTGGAAGAGACTGTAAAGATGACCTAATGAAACACCCTCACTTTACAAATGAGGAAACTGAGGCCCAGTGTAGTAAAGTGATTTTCCTCAAGGTCACATTGGTAGTAAGCGTCAGAGGCAGGATTTCAACTGTATCACGCTGGAATCAGAGGATATGAGTTCTAATGCTACTTCTGCCTTTTACTTCCTGTGTGACTTAAGGTGAGTTGTTTAACCTTTTGGAGACTTGGTTTCATCATGTATAAAATTAGGATATTGAATTAATGACTTCAGAGTTCCCTTCCAGTTCTAAATCTTTAAACCTATATCGTGTTCTTCTCTAGGCTAAAGTCAAGTCAAGGTTTTTTTTTTTTCTTTTAGCACTAAAAATAACAAAAACAAACAAAACCAACCCCCCCCCCCACACACACACACTCTCATATAATCATTGGATCATAGATTCAAAGCTAATCCCGTTCCAGAGATGAGGAAATGAACGCTGAGAGACGAGGATGTCTCAGAGTTGAGATGTCAGCAAAGGTCTTAAGCTCCAAATTCAATGACTTGTCTTACTTCCAAAAGAAGGAACTAAAATTTCATCATCATTATCTTTTTTTAAGTGTATGAAAACAGGAGGTCTTGATGACATGAGCCAGTCAAGCCAAACTTTGATGGTAATATCAATTAATCTTCACACTTAATAGTGGTTTTAATTAAAGACTCCTTCTGTGGGTTTGAACAGAAAACCTTTTTAATTTAACATATTACTGGGAAGCCAAATCGAGCATATCAATACACAGTGAAAATGAGGAGTGCCAATATAAATATACCTAAAGAAATAATTTGCAAAATAGGCTATGACAATAGTGTCAGACAGGAGAGAGTTTATTTAAAATAATCTGTAATTCAGTTTTTTTAAACTATTAAACAAAATAGTGAGACTGGATGAACTCCATGCTATCTTCCAACTCTAAAGCCAGTGAGTCTTTTAGAGGATGTTAACACTTTGAAGTATAAAGTTATTTAACTAAATAAAATTGGGAGCAGACCTTTATTTTTTCACAGACAGCCTTATATTGGCAGTTTATTGCATAGCCGCTTGCTATGCAAACATTAAGGGAAATGATGAAGAATTTGGGCTGTATGATAATCATGAAACCTGAAGAAAAATTGATTTTGAACTAACATTTTCATTTAAAATCACTTCCTAACTTTCTTTACTTTGTCTTTCCTCTCTTTCAGTTTCAGATTATGAACTTTTTCATCATATCTAAAGATGTCACCCCCTACCTTCTTTTGGGAAAAGCCAGTGGATTTGGCAACAAGAAAATAATTAATGACCTTTGAAAGAGCAAAGCAAGTTCAGGAGAGTAGTAAAGGAAAAAGAGTACAATGGGGTTGAGTAAGTTGGAGGATGATGAAGTGGAGGCAGTAAGTATAAGGTATTTGGGCAGCAGAACTTTTACAATAAAGAGGATGAGAGAGAATGATAGCTATAAGATTAAAGGTATGGCAATGTCAAGAGAGAGATTTTATGGGGAATTTTGTTTTTGGATGACCAAAGCATATTTGAAGCTTAGGGAATGGAAAGGTAGGAAAGGAGAAATGAGAAAGGGAGGTCCCAGTGGATCTCAGAGAAATTATTTCAGTGATATTAGTGGTGGAACAAGGTTTAAAGAATTCACTATCATGGAGTTAATGTTCAACTACATGTAGGAGCCATAAAGACAGAAACTAAACAGTCCTTTCCCTCAAGGAGCTTACATTCTACTAGGGACATGTAGAAATACAAAATATATACAGAGGAAATATAAAAGACTTTGGGGGTGGATCATGATGGATTGGAGGGAACAGTAAAGGCATTCTATAGGAGGTTGGAGCTGAGCTTTGAAGGAGGCTAGGCGTTCTGAGAGGCAGTGGTTAAGTAGGAGTCTATTGCATACATTCAAGACAGTCTGTCCAAAATATGGGAGGTGGAATGTCATGGGAGGAATAACAAGTAGGCCAGTTGTGCTGTAATATTGAGTATGTGAAGGGAAATAATGTCCAATATGTAAGGAAAGTCTGGAAGGCAACCTGGAGACAAGGCTGGAGGCAGTCCTGCAGCCTGATTTCAAGGGTTTGCATAGTGGTCAAAGGGAGGAGTCCAGAGGGTAAATGACTGAGAATGCAGAAAATAGGCTAAAACACCACTCTATCAAGAGAAAAAGCCTCAATAAGAGTACACCACACAAGCAGAAAAGGCAGGGAGGATTCTAGAAAACAGGATGAACAATTGGTAAAACATCAAAGAAAACGTAAAGTTCTCTTAATAATATGAAGGAAAATGAATCATTATTTCCAGATGAAGGGCAGAAAATGGAGGACTCTAGAGATCATGGAATAAGAAGAAACTACAAAGTGGTTTGAAAGAAAAATAAAATTTCACAAAAGAAGAAATCAGGAATGAATTTCGACAAGAAATTACGAGTTCTCAATGTAGGATCAAAAAAGAGAAAAAATAAATCTATGATGATGAATCTCTAAAGGAGTACAGTTGTGAGAAAGAAATTCAAAGTTTTATAATATTAAAATATTAATATACAGGACATTTTGGCACAAGGGAAGGAAAGGGATGATGTTAAAAGAATATGTGAGTTCTAGGCAATCTAAAATAACTAACTTTCAAGATAGGGTATACAGAGATAAGGATCCTACAACTCAGCAATGTTTTTAAAATCTGAATATTGCAATGTAATGAATCACAAAAGAAAACTGCAGAATTTCTGTGTACAGAAAACAAGCATCCCTTGAGAGAATCCATATATTACTCTGGGGAAAAAAAGTCTTTCCAGTTCTCAGATATAGAGTAGTTAAATTTAATAGTTTTGATGATAACATATTTTACAAGCAGCAAGGAGACAGATCTTTCAATGTGAAGGAAATAAAAATTGAATAACAAATTCATTCCACAGTTAGAAGAAATCAAACATGTGTGTGTTTAAAGATCAAACTACAACTCGAAAATGTCATGCCCTACAAATCTGAACCTAATAGTCAATAAAAAAGGATGTACTTAAAACAAAAGTATATGATGTATTTCTGAAAAAAAAAGACATGAAGCTGAATTCTTGAGATATAAACACTTCAAATGGTAGAAGTACAAGAAAGGTAAACAAATACAATTCCAAAAAGGTAAATTTATTTTTAGAAGCTATTCTTTAAAAAGAAAGATTGAGGGGCAGCTAGGTGGCACAGTGCATAAAGCTCCAGTCTTGAAGTCAGGAGGACTTGAGTTCAAATCCGATCTCAGACACTTAACACTTACTAGCTGTGTGACCCTGGGCAGGTCACTTAACCCCAATTGCCTCACCAAAAAAAAAAAGAAAGATTGATGTATGGGATAAAAAGAAAGAATAAAAAGAAAATATCAGTGGATAAAAATGACTTAAGGGTCCTAAGCATTAAGGGCAACTTAAAGAATCATAAGTGAAGTGGAAGAATTGAACTGATGCAACATGAAGTCATAAAAGTGGGTCAATGTCTTTTGTGGAAAGGAATCACCATAGTGGAATACTAAAAGGGGGAGAGATCAGGATGGAACAGAGGAGAATGGGTGGTGAATTCCTGCTAAATCCAAGGCCAAAGAATGACTCTTCTCATACTTTCATGGCAAGGGATAGGTAGGGAGTGGCAGTTGAGGGAGGAGGGGCAGACTGGGACTGGGGTCTGATCCTGGAGCAGGGAGCTGCAGCTATAGAAGTTCTCATATACCTAGAGGTGTCTATAAAGGTAGACAGGTGGTTTTAATATAGGGGTAGTTTATGCATTGGGAGGTTACCTTCTCTGAAAGAATGATGACCTGAATGGAAGAAAAAGCATTTATTAAGCACTCACTATGTGGCAGGCACTGTGTTAAGTTGCAGGGTTATGAATACAAAAGCAAGACAGTCCTTACCCTGGATAGTCTTATATTTTTAAAGGGGGAGAAAACAAAAATTTAAGAATGGTAACCTGGGAGAATGTTTTTTTCTGTGTAGTTGCAGGAAGAGTGAATGGAATAATAGAGCAGTTGAATTACATGCCCTTTTGGGAAGCAATAGTAATGTATTTGACTATACCTTTCAGAGTATTAGGGAGAAGTTGGAAAGACCAAAAAAGAGAGGGAGATAGAGCCAGTGACAAGATGATTTGACCTCTGAAGTAAGCTGATCATGGGCAGAGAGAGATTGGTTGGGCCCATAATTTGGGACAAGGATAATTTCTATCACCTTGTGTGGTCAGAGTCACAACATTAAAAAAAAAAGGAAAAAGTTTTACATACGCAATTACATAGAAATTGAATAGCTAAATGGCACAGTAGATAGTGCAGGGCCTTTAGTCAGGAAGACTCATCTTTCTCAAATCTGACCTCAGATAGTCCACTAGCTGTGTGACCCTGGGCAAGTCACTTAACCTTGTATGCTTCAGTTTCCTCATCTGTAAAATGACCTGGAGAAGGAAATGCCAACCTACTTCAGTATCTTTGCCAAGAAAACCCCAAATGGCGTCATGGAAGAGTTAGACATGGCCGAATGAGTTAGAGTAACATCTTTCTGAATAGAAGAGGGAGCTCAAATGTGGTAATTCAGAAGCTTTAACCCTTTGAGGAAAACAGAATAGATAAGGATATAACTCACAAATGAGAAATAAAATTCAAAATAGACTAGAAATAATTACAGACTGAGAAATAAAAGAAAGCAAAATTTTATTAGATAAGGTTCAGTAAAATAAAATTATTAAAAAAGAAATGGGAAGGAAAATTCTCATTAATTTATTAATTGGGGAGAAAAAGAGAAGATATAAGATAACAACAGGAATAGATCACTAAAAATGAGAAATTAAATGAAACAATGTGATTTTGGGTAAGCAAATGGAAGGAAAGAAAAGGTTGAGAGCCTATGAGAAGAGAGTAGCATCTGAAAGATTTAATATAAAAAGGAGCTAAAAAGCAATATAAAAAATAAATGGAGGAAAGCAGGAGCCCAATAATGATAACTTTAAGTGTGAACCTATTAAACAACTTATTAACAGAGAAAAATACAATGGATAAGGAATGAAAACCAATCTGTTGTATATAAAAAAATGCACCTAAAATGTTATGATACAAAAAAATGAAAATAAGAGTGAAAAAAAATTAACCATGTTTCAGGTACATTTTTAAAAGTGCTTTTATAATGCTAACAGTCAAAGAATGAATTTTTTTTACAGTAACAAGAAATAAAAAGGAAAACTATTATACCTTAGAGAACTATAGATAGTAAACCAATATCAATATTAAAAATATATGCCATTATCACATATATCATAATATCTATATTCATAAAGAAAGGAACTGAATTGTGAAGATAATAGTGGAGGACTTCAATGTGCCTCTTTCAAAGTCTGACACACTGAAAAAGAAATAAAAGGAAATATGTTTTTTTAATATCCATTTTGTGCCAGATACTGGCTAAGTGATAGGAGTGCATTGTCAACAATGAAAAATAGTCTCGAGGAACTAATATTCTGTTCTGAGGAACTAACAGGTATAAGGATAATAATAATAACAGGTATATGTACAATGTAATTTTAACGTAAAAAAAGGAAAGATCTCATACAAAAATTGGTGTATGTAAACTAAGCATTTAAGAAAGCTAAGCATTGAAAAAGGCTTAGAGGTCTTCGCAAAGGTGTGGAGGTAAGAAGTCGAATTTCATGTATAGGGAATGTGAAATAGGTCAGTTTAGGTAGAATAGTGAAGGTTCTGTACTCTGACAGTCTAGTGCTGGATTATTCAGGGTTTTAAATGCTAAACAAAGGAATTTGTATATTACCTTATAGACTACACACACACACACACATACACACACACACAAACACTCACACTCACACTCTATACTTTAACTTCGGATAAGGGAGAAACATGGTCAGATTTATCCTTTTGGAAAATTATTTTGATAGTTCCTTGGAAGATAGACTAGAGGGATTTGAAGACACAGAGACCTAATAGGAGTCTATTGCTATAATCTAAGAAAAGGTGATGAAGGTCTGAATGAAGATGGTAACTGCATGAATAGGGAGAATGTATGTGAAATGTGTGGGTAGAAAGGACAAGATTTAGCAACTAATTGGATCTAGGGAATGGAATAGAATGAATGGAGAGGAAGCCTGAGGTTGTGAACCTCAGTGAAAGGACTAGAATCCTTTCATAGAAGTAGGGAACATTAGAAGTATTGGAGCAGATTGTTGAGAATGATGAATTTGATTTGGACATTTTAAGGTGTCTATGGGATATCAACTTAGAAACGTCAGCTCCTTCAGTAAAATATAAACACCTTTAGGTCCAAGACTGTTTTGCTTTTATATGTGTATCTCCAGCTCTTTTGTATTTGTATCCACAGTGACTAGCACATTGTTGACAATGTTTATTATCCCGAATAATATCCCACCAATGATAGGAAGCCTTCTCCAACCTTCCTTAATTTTAGTGCCTTCCCTCTTTCAATGATTTCCTATTCACACTGTATATACTTGCTTTGTTTATATTTGTTTGTATTTTGTTTTCTTCTTTAGATTATAAGCTCCTTGAGGGCAAGGACTGTCTTTTTTCTCTTTTCGTATCCCTAGTGCTTAGCACAGTGTCTGGCGCTAAGTGGGCCAATGGTAATAAATATTAATAAATGTTTATTGATTGATGAACCATATCATTGGAATGATGTAGATAACAGTTTTACAGAAATTTGAACAACTTGTTTGGCAAAACAAGGATGAAAGTGCTCAGGGTCAAGACATTTGAAGATCAGTTGAAGGAACTGGTTATATGTAGCCTGGAAAAGTGAAAACTTGGAGGTGACTCAACTTTGTTCAAGTATTTGAAAAACTTTCATGTGGAAGAAGGAATAGGACCAATTTTGCTTTGCTACAGATGGCATAACAAAGAGAAATCTGTTAAAATTGCAAATCCATAAATTGATGTAGGGATGGTAGTAGAGTTGAGGTAAAGAAAAACTTCTGAACAATTAGAGCTGTGCAGAAGAGGAAATTGAAATACCTCAGTAGGTATTGGCTTCCCCTTCACAACAGGCTTTCAAGCAAAAACCGTCTGAATGTTTTTCATGTATTATTAGAGGAGACCCTTGATGATATGAAGGTAGTACTACCTGATTTCTTCCAAATGTGAAATTCTATAATTAAGGGTTTTCTCAAATTATTTTACATTTCCAAATTTAAGGTTCCTTTTATGTAAATCTGATTCTCTGAGACCTGAAGCTTTTTTTTCATAATTTTGGCAGTGTATATAAGGAGGAAAAATGAATATTAAAAGGTCACTTGTTTTATTCACTTCTTTTCCAATTTTGGTAAGAGTGCTATGTCATCTAAAGCCAAAATTAACATTATGTTGTATTGCATTTTTATTTATGCTGTTAAACATTTCCCAATTACATTTTAATCTTGTTCAGGCATTATTCTGCAGTGAGTTTGACACCTCTGATATAAAAGTGTTAAATAGTATGTTTAGAAACTGATCTGGTTTTAAAGTTACAACCATTGACCATGTATTTTAGATTTCCATCTGGACCATGTAATAATATTATTTAAAAAAAGTTTGTCATTTAAAATATGAGAGATATTTAAACTATTACGAATTAAACTATTCACTGTTGTTGATGTTCTTTTAAAGCACTCATTATATTACATAACAAAGATTATGTGTTAATATTTATACAAATAAAATATACTTTTTAAAGGCAGAAATTCTCTAAGAGGTTTCAAATATGAGATGCCTTTCTTATTAGTATTTAAGAGTACATATTATGAGATGCCTGAGTAAAATAATAGTGGTGTATTATGTTAAATTCTGTAAGTGATTCCTTGTTTCCCCAGCAAACCACAAGACAAGTTTGCATTAGTGTAATACATTACCAAAACATAGTATATTGAGAATATTTAGATGTATGAATTTACATGTATCTATTATTAGTCATCTTTGAGGTCATGATTTATAATTACCAAACTGGCAGAAGAGTAAAGAACAACTTTTGAGATTTATGACAAAATAACTTTTAAGTTCCTTTCAGGCTGGACCATTAACCAAAGTGACCATATGTAAGGACAAAGAAGGAAGACCCAAACCTTTTGGATTTGTCTGTTTTAAACATCAAGAATCAGTATCCTATGCTATAGCTTTGTTAAATGGAATTCGTTTATATGGTAGACCAATTAATGTGCAGTATAGATTTGGTAAGTCCTATACTTCTTGAATTCACATTATGACAATTTAAATGTGGTACTTCTGTTTTATTTTGTTATTAATACATAGGTCAAACAGATAATCCTAAATGTCCTATCAAATTTACTGAGACACGATCTAAAAAATAATGGGTTAAGCTATAGTCTTGGCTATGCCACAAGCTTATTGTGTGAATGGATCACTAAACCCCTTTGTACCCTGGTTTCTTCATCTATTACATGAAATATTTGGATAAGATGATCTTTTGGTGTCCTCTCAGCTTTACCATTTTGTTTTAATATGATATATTGTCATTCCATTTAATTGAGGCTTCTGAATGATCCAGGTCCATGAGTCTAGGGGATTTTTAATATTATAATTTATTAAATAGATTAAATATTAAATAAATAAGAATTTAATATTAGAATTGCAAGTTTTTAGTTCCCTTGTACATTGTTGATTATGAAATATTTGGCCTCTTTGCTGTGGTTTCCTGCCTATTAAAAGCCATCCTACAGCCAAATATATAGGCCAGTAAGAAAAACTTCTAAGAGTAGCAGGATCATCAGTGTACTTCTCATCCACAAAAGGGACTGGAATGACTAAAACAATTGTACTGAATACCTTACTGAGAGATGCCATGCCTATGATACCCAGGCTTCCTCTCGTATTTGCAGTTGTCAGTGGTTTTAACTATCATCTGTTTTCATCAATACTGGTGTGCACTGATGCACAGAGACACCATATCTCTTAGGGCTTGGAGAACCTTGCAACAATAGTGCTATATGTTTTGGAGTTTTCTGGAGCTACCTATGTCTCTGGAATAAGTATTTGTAATCCACTCTTAATATGTCAAAAAATATGAACCAGTGGTTTATATTTCCTATTGTTTGATTTTCCCTTTTGTACTAGAAACATTGTTTTCTTGGGAGAAGAACTTATCTCAATTTATTTCTAGCAAGTGGAAAATTAGCTAAATAGATGCTCTCTTTGGGAGTAATCTGTTGCATGCTTTTTAAAGAGCTCAGCAGATGGTTTCTGTATATGTATATGATACTCCATCCCTCTCTTTCATTCCCTCATGGAGGGTTGCATTTTCTATATCATTGCAGGTTTAAAGGGAGAGTAATACTGATAGTTTTAAAGATGTAAATAATATCATTTTCTATAGCTCTGTACTTATGCATTTTTATGAAACGCAGTCATACTGAATATATAGTTCTTATAATTCAGTAGGAATCATGTATATGTGTGTGTTTGATGGAAGAACTCTATGTTATCCTTTCATCTGAGGTTATAGACATATATTTCATGTATCTGTTTTTTAATCATAACCTTTCTGTCACTTTATTAGATTTAGTGATAAATTATAAAAATGCAGTTAGGAAATTAAAACTAATATAATCTTTTTTTTTTTTTGGTAGGGAGTTCCCATTCAGCTGAGTTGAATAACCAAGTTGCTGAGAACTATATTAATACAAATTCACAAATATGCAGGTAATGAAATAGTTTGTAGAAATAATATTTGCTAGAGGTACACTTATTCCAATAAAAATGGGAGCTTAAAATATAAATATATGTTTCTTTATGCACATACAGATGTATGTGCATATTCACACATCTGTGTGTGTGTGTGTGTGTGCACATGTGCATGTGTAAAAAGTGTAAAGCCTTGCTACCAAATTCAGGAATAAAGTTAAGTAGACCTTTTGTAATCAAAGAGAAATGAAAATAGAATATTTGAAAAGAAGTATGAACTTTATCATTTTCAATTGTTAGTGGTAATACATTCAATATTTTATATTCTTTTTTATAACCACATTACTGGGTTAAGGATTGGTAGACTGGACTTATAAGTTGCACTATTTTTAGTCATCTGATCTGAAGCAGAGATATATCTACTTAATCTCTAAGATCATCCCTAAAGGGTTGTAGGGCTCAGAGAAAAATCATACTAATTATAATAATTACCAAGGGAAACTCTAAAAAGAAAATATTATCATGCTTTACATAGGCAGCTATCACTTTTGTTTAGATTTTTTTGTGGTTTGGCCTCTGTTCTCAAAGAGGACCATGGCATCAGGGAGAGGATGACATGATTGCAGTTGACTTTGATTTGAGTGAGGAAGGGCTGTGCAAAGTCACCAGCCTCACTTTCTCTTCCAGAGCCCTGGCCCAGGGGCCAGATATAGATAGAATAATTGGAGATGGCCCAGCAGGTAGAATTTTAGTTGAAACTTTAAGGAAGCCAGGGAAGTCAGTAGTCATGGGGGGAAAGTAGAGCAGCATTCCAAGTATTATTGACAGCCAGAGAAAATGCCTGGAGCAGAGATGGAGTGTTTTTGTGGAACACACAGGAGGCCAGTGTCATTTGGTCAAAGAGTAGGAGTTGGGGAATAAAGTGTAAGAAGTCTGGAAAGGTAGGAGAGGGTTAGGCTATGAAGGCTTTTGAATGCCAAACAGAGCATTTTGTATTTAATTCTGGAGGTAATAGGAAGAAGCACTGGAGTTTATTGAGGTGGGTGGGGTGGGAGGGTTTGACATGATCAGACCTGTGTTTTAGGGCAATCACTGTAGTAGCTGAATGGAGAATGAATTGGGGTAAGGAAAGATTTAAGGCAGGCAGATTCATCAGCAGGCTATTGCAGTGATCAATAGCCACTTTAGGTCACATGAGGGAAATTTAAGCAATTCTGATCATTTTGTGTACATATGTACCTTTTATTCTTTAGGAAAACTGAAGTTTTCTGGGTAGAAAATTTTGTATTCATAGCCCATCACTTTATTTTCCTTGAGAAATCTACCATGACCCTGAGTAACCACCTAATAAGTAATTTTAGTCTTCAGGCACTTGGTGTATATTTTTTCCCAACTGCTAATTATAAAAATTGGAGTAAAATTATAATGTGTCAAGAAACCAAGGAATAATCTATTTGTTTTCTGTTGCTTATTTAAACTCTATGAAGTATTCTTTGATAATTTCTTGAGGCATAATGTTCAGATTGCTTTTTTCCTTAATTTTCTAGACTATTAGTAATCCTGAGATTGATGCGTTATGATCTATCTTCCAAGACTGTCTCATAATTCTATTTTCCAGTTCTTTGAATATTTTAATGATTTTTCTGATCCTACACTTCTAGTAAATCTGTATGTCCTACAATTAGTGATAACCCTTTTATTGTTTTGATTTAGATAGTATCTGATCCATCCATACAAATAGCCAATGCAGACCCTGGTTCCTCCTGTCCCCTTCCCTTCTCCACCCATTAGACTACCTGCTACCACTGTCATGGAAACAATTGAAGTAGAAATTTTAGTGCTTTTTAGAAAATTTAGAAGTAGAAGAAAGTTGGAGGAAAGCTATACAATTCAGGAACACTTTAGACAAATGGGTCTTAGAGCAAAAAATAAAGGAAGGAAATAAGCACTTATTAAGCACCTAGTATGTGCCAGACACCTTGCTAAGCCTTTTACAAATACTATTTAATTCATACAACCTGGAGAGGTACATATTATTATTATTTCCATTTTGCATTTGAGGAAATTGAAGCAAACCAAAGTTAAATGACTTGCCCAGAGTCACATAGCAGTAAGAGTCTGAATCTGGATTTAAACACAGGTCTTTGCCTTGGAGATGCATTTAGAAAACTGAAACAGTCCATGCTCTTAAGGAGTTAATATTCTAATATAGGAGATAACACAGAAGATCTTAGCTGCAAGTTAAATGGGAAAGTCCTATTTCCTTAAGGTGCAGTAGTAAAACAGAGGCTAGTGCCTCTTCTTTAATATAACTTCTACTGATAAAATCATATCAGTTTCTCATGTCGAACAACTTGACAGTGCCACAGACCTGAGTGGCAAGAATTCTCTTTTCTGGGTCTTCAATAGATGTGGTTTTAGCATCTGCAGGAAGTTGTAAAGTATTGCTTCCCAAGAAGATGACTGTGGACAGTGGGCTAGAAACATTACTATTCCAAAAGGTCCTGGGCCCTCTATTGGGGTCCAAAGGTAGTCAAGGTTATTGTTGTGGTGGTGGTGGTGGTGGTTGACTTTTCTGGCATATGCTGCTTCCTAGAAGCAATAGGTGTGTGTGTGTGTGTGTATGTGCACTCGAGTATGTGTATTTGTGTTTCATGTACAAATCTCTAGATTTCAGTGTTCATGCTTCTTTTAATAGAAATGAAGACTTTTTGTCAAGATCATTTCCCATACAAACCTTAACGGCAAATGATGGTAGCTTTACTCAGGAACTTGGCTCTCAGAGTATGGTAAGTTTAATTTGTTGTTGTTGTTGTTGATTAGGGAGAGGAACCACCTTTTACTTGTGGTGTCCTCATCATGGGAAAATACCAGTGTAGAAATTTCTTTCACCTGATGCACAACAGCAATTCCTCCATAACTTATAGTTTTAGATAATACCTAGAGTATTATCTAATACTCTGGCCATGATCATATAGCTAATATGTGTTACAATCAGAACTTGAACCATGTCTTCCTGGTGCCCAAACCAACTCTCTATGTGTTGGTTTTCATGAATTTGGCACAGTTTGTAATATCAAGTTAAAACATGAAGAAAGAAAAAAACTGTGGAGAGTAAATCCAGATGTTTTAAAACCAGAAGGTATTCTGAGGAAGTTGGTGTGTCACTTTCATCTTGACTTTAATAGTATGTTCATATGCTACTATTTTATTTTAATGCTGAATCCCCACATATCTGTTATCTCAACAAGCAGATGTCAAGGAGGAATTCCAATAATCGAAATTTATCATTAGAAAGAGGTAGAGGTCAGTGAGGTATATGCAGTCTTAAAAATATAAAGACCACTATTAGCTGAATGCTTTTTTATATTTTACCTATTATAACTTGCTTTCTGTGGTTAATCTATTTATGAAAAGTTGTGTAAGCTTTTTTGTATATTATTTTAATGCAGTTATGGAGCAGAGTATTAGAGAAGGGGAAAGAAAATTAAATGCTGTTAACTTTAATTTAGCTGTTTGTGGTCTGAGCTTGCGGTCATTAAATCAGTGAGTGAGCATACTAGTGGAAGAATTGTACCACATTCATCCTGATATTCTTACTACAAATGAAACAAGACACAGAGGTTACAGTTAAGTGGAAGGATAGATTCAAAAATTTTCTCTGTCTTTTAAAATTTTCTCTTATTTTTATTGATGTCTTTTGATTTTATTACATTGTTTTCTAAATATATCTTTCCCCATCTCCTATACACACTGAGCCATCCCTTAGTAACAAAGAGGTTATTGCTTAAGTGTATCTTGTAAAGGTCAAACTTTAAGATTTATTGATTGTTTTTGTATTTGAGATTTCATCAGTGTGAGTATTTCTTCTATGGATGCAAATCGATTCCTATCACAGGGTTCTTATTTATTTTTTCATGAATTGTCCTTGAAAAATTTACCTACACTGCTAGAGGACTACTACTCAATCTTTGAATATCTTGGCTATTACTTGACCTGCTCATAGATGGTTATTCTATTTCCCCTCCTGGTCACATATATCTTTCCTCTATTTTGATATATACTATTTCTCAAGTATAATTTAATATAGGGATAACCATGATTTCATTAGCATAAGGAACTCCTGGTTGAGGCAACTTCCTTCTACCAGTACAAATTGGTACCTTCTCTGCAACTTATAGTTTTAAAGAGTTATCTGGAACACCGATAGATTAGGTTAGCTGTCCAGGGTCACATTGCCACTATGTTTGAGAGGCAGAACTTACACCAAGATATTGGTTTTGAAGCTTGCTCTCTATCCACTACAGCAGAGGTGTCAAACATAGCCTGTTTGACTGTGGGCCTCCCAAGTGAGGCTGAACCAGATTAAAATCAAAATGTAGAATAATTAACAAAATAAATAAAAATACAATAAAAAATAGATAATACAACATTTTAAAACTAAGTCTGTTTGTGGTCTGAAAGGATACTTATGCATGAATTAACCCACCTTTCTATTTGAGTTTGGCATTATTTCTGCTTTTACTACTTCTCCTAAGTGTGAGTGATCCTTGGTAACATTTTTCAGCTTACTTAATATAAACATGGGTCTCTTCCAAATTGCCATTTGGAATTTTAAATTCTAAATTGTAGTATTATATGATTTGTAGTCCCAGCACATTAAAAGAATAGTATTGGTATTAAATAAATGGATGTTTGTAGCCATAAGTAGTTAGGTGTTACTAAAAGCTTTCATTTATTCAAATGCTATTCAGGCTGATATTCTCCTCTTATTGCCCTGCAGCTGGTAGCCAAGATAAATATATTGAGAGAACCTGTTCTGCTGTACCTCATAGGCTGACTGATAGATGTTTTTCGTCCACTTTGTTTTTTCTCTACTCTAAAGGTCTGATCCTGATAGCTGAGTGGAACCTTAATTCACTTACCCGTAAAGCAAGCTTAATTTAAAATGAGTAACTAAGGTGATTTCTCCATACCTCAACTATCCATATTATAGTGCTATGTCATGTGTTTTGATTCCCTTTTATGTCTATTTCAGAAACTTCCCTATTATGCATAGCCAGTATGCCTTGTTTACCAATAAACACTTTGGTTTAATAAGTACTTATGTATCTAGTATATACAGATTGTTACATTTATTGTCTTGTTCTTATACACATATCTTTTTTTTTTAATCATAGCAATATCCTATGTATAATCTGATGGTACAACCTTCAAAATGCCAGATGACACCACCACTAGCCTCAAGCTTTTCTGTATTATCCATGCCAAATCCTCTTTCAGATTTGGATGCTAGATCAAGTTCTTTTGAGTTTGCTCACCAGCCAAGTGACTGGGACTTTTACCCAGTGAATAAAAGAAAATGGCAGCCAGAAACTAGTGATAGTAGCACAGAAGATGACATAGGAAATGTAAGAGAATATAACAAAAAATATAGAAGGTATAAGAAGAGAAAAAGAAATTAATATTGTATTTAAATGAAAGATTAATCTATATTACACTTCAAAGAAAATTGCATTTTTGCACAATTAGAATAATTATGATTTGTGACTTATTTTTAAGTGTATTATATGACCAATTAGATATTGGTATTTAATTCCATGCTTTCAATGAAGAAAACTTGCAAATGAAATAGTAATATGTTTGTCATCTATTCTTAAGAATTATCACAGCCTCAGCTAAAAAAATACACTTTGTTCATGGCAATGGATTTTTACTAAGCCAATCAATCAATCAACAAATATTTATGGAATATCTTCTATGCATAAAGCACCATATATTGGTCAATCCATGTTCTCCATCTAGTTCTCCTTGTCATCAATAAATCACACTTGTGAGGACAGAGATATTTTTTTTCATTCATAAAGCTAAAGCAAGCATAAATAATGCATTTTTCTTAATAAGTAAATAGGTTTTATTTTTCTTACTTATACTTCTCATAATTATTATACTCTTTGATTCAACCTTTTTGTTATGGGTCTTTGAGGTATATGAGATTCTAATGAAAGGCTGTTAGTCACAAAACTGCTTATTGGCTCTCTTGGCTTGTGGGAATAAGTCTATGTGTCCTCAGGTTTATATACATCTTTTTTATTACTAAATAATATGCAAATTGGCTTTATATTATAATGTATCAATATAATATATCAACTAATTTGCTAGGATTGATTTTAGTCTTGATAACCCAAATCCCTACTAAGTGAACTTAATCTTTTTTTGGTCTATTCAAGTTTGATATCTCTCTAAATATTGGAACTTTTTGGAACTTGGATCATTATAGAATTATTATTTCAAGATAAATCAGCAACTATTTATTTTGGGACAAGAGATTATGCCATTAGGAACATGAAATAAATTATGAAGAAATTTATAATAAGTTATAATGATTAGTAATCATAATTCACAATAAATTACATTTATTATATAATTTTCAAAGTTGTATCTTTTATCAGATTAATTCTGTAGCTATGCCAGAGACCTGAACAAAGAATTTTTTTTAATTTACCAAACTTAATTGAAATAGATTTGTATGAAATCATTGAGATTTACCTCTCCAGATCGATAAGCTAATCATTAATATTTAAGGATTTCTTTCACCATATTGTATTAAGACAATTATTTTCCTAAAACTTGGAATATGTGCACTTATATTTACACTGAAAGTCATATATTCAAATAATTTGCTGGTGGCTAGGTTATACAGAGGATAGATCTCAATGCTCATAGCAAGGAAGACCTGAATTCAAATTCTGATTCAGATACTAGATATGTGACATGTAGGTAAGTCACTTAAGTTCTCTGTGTCTCAGTGTCCTCAATTGTAAAAGGAATAGCACCTACCTTTCAGGTTGTTGTGACAAATGAATTCATTAAGCTCTGTAAAACACTTAGCAAATATTAAAGCACTACATAAATACTAGCTACTAATGTTGGGTTATTGTTATTGTTATTAAAAAAGTTTTAATTATACTTGTGAACAATGTGGAATTTTTAAACATGGAGTTTTAAACATCATGAAAATTTAAAATATTGGAAATGCGTAGAAATTAAACATGATTTCATTGCTATAGAGAACTCTTAGATAAGGAAATTCCCTCTACCAATATAGTTTGGCACACTCTTTGCAACTGATAATCTTAGGCAGTTAAAATTGTCTAGAACATAAAGGTTAAGTGACTTGCCCAAGGCCATGTAGTCAGTACAGTCAATATATATCAGAGATGGGAATTTAACCAAGATCTTCCTGGCTGCCTTTCAATATTATATAATATGGCTTAATTCATTATGCAGACTGGAAAAGAAAAGTAAACTTTCTTTTATTTTCAATTCTTGAAGAATTTGTTAATTTAGAGTTAATTGAGAGGGGAAAATATTTTTTATAGTGGCAGCAGAAGTTGTTATTCTCAAAAAGAAAACAAACAAAAAAGTTCAAATTTCTTAAGATGTCTCCTAATGTAGTCCTTCCTATTCTAATCCTATTCTGCTTTTCCAAACTTATTTCATACTACTTATTCCATTTTATATATTCTATACTTTACCCAAATGTGACTCTGTGGCATTCCTCAAACCTGTCCTTTTTTCCCTCTTTCTATCTTTGGTCCTGCTGTTTATGTCATCATAGCTGATCTCTGCCTGTTAAAATCCTATCTAACCTTTAAAGCCAAGCTCAGCTACCACCTCCCTTCATTCAAGAAGTCTTTCCTGAATTTCCTTTCCTTGTTTGTTGTTCTTTCAAAACCCATAACAATTTGTTTGTACTTCCTTTATGACAATTATATTCTATTTTATATTATAGTTATGTGTCCCTTTGTATTTTTTTTTCCTTCTAGCCTCTTCACACCCCCAAAATGATTATAAATTCTTCAAGGACAGGAGTTATGTTATTAATTTCTATGTATTTTGCATGCAATAATAATTTCTTTCGTTCAATTCAGTTCATGAATTTAGATGTTTGTCATGACTTACAGTTTATGGTGTGACTCATTAACAAACCTATTTCATCTATAACCTGCTGTCCTAAAATATAATTAGAGGGCCATTATAATAGTCCAGGCAAGAAGTGTCAAGGCACCAAGGTGGTGGTCGTATGAAATGGGGGCAGGCGCAAGAAATGTTGAGGAAGAATAAAAAAGATTGAACAAATTTGTCACGTGCCACCCACTTTTATCACCTAATATCTGTCTGCAGCTGTTCAATTTAATTTGCCAGTGTTTTAGCTTTATTCACATCATGAAATGTGGGTATTTGAATGATGTTTTCTTTGTTTTCCTTTGTTGATATAAAACATTTTTCTGTTTTGCACAGGACAGAAGCCTCCATTGCTAGTTGGGGTTAGGTATAGTGCAGGTTATGTCATGCATAAAAAAAGTGAATTTCTGAGGAGGCCAAGGGCCCCCAAAGCAGGTTCTTCTCAGACTTCCTGGTCTAAGTCACTTACTCCTTTCTCTGAATCCTCTTCATCCACTTTCTGGTGCTTCCTCTCTCAATACAATATGCTGTGTATGTGGGCCTTTAGGGAACAGGATGCTTGGGACTGTTGGCTCCTCCTGTTCCAAATCTTCTGATTGACCTTAGACCCTAGATACTGGAGATGTGTATTTTCAGTGGAGTTGGAACTGTCATAGATAGATAGATAGAGTATATCAGTACATATATACATATGTACTTATGTACATATGTTCATACATACACATAGAGATAGTCATACATACATATGGCAGGCATACCTGGTAATTCTGGGCCCATTCCCTTCCTCCCAAATTAGTTCAGCGAGAGGGAAAACAGTTAATGGCTGTCTTATGTAGGGGAGGAAAAAGTTGACATTTTTATTTACTTTTTATTAAAAATAATAAAATATGAGAATTCATTTTTAAGGGGAAAAACAATTCTCCTTAATACAGACTATGGAATCATTTTCTTGCCTAGGGAACAATGTAAAAAAGTTGTTATTTTATTAAACATTATCTTATTCAGGATCTTCATGATTTACACATCCTCCCATTCTTGAGTCTAGTGTTTCTAAAGCTGCAATATCTCCACAGTTAGTGAACAAGTGTTTACAAGACTATAAGGTTGGGTACTTGTTGGGTACTTGCCTCTTAAATCTTTTATCTCTTTCCCCCTTCTCCCTTGCTAAAAAAGTGGTGCTAAAAAAAAGTTTTTTGAACTTCTAAAATTCCCAGTGCTAATAGCCTAGAGTGTAGAGCATTTTGGATACTATTTATTAAGAATCATTCCTATGTAAGTCAGATTTTCATGGATTTTCCATGCTAATAATAACCATTTTTGCAGTATTAGACTATGGTGTTTAGATCTATCTCCATGCAGTGTTTATGTAAAAGGTTATCTAGCTTTCCAGGTCACAAATCTTTTACTCTTTGAAAGAAAAAAAGTTGTATTTGATTTTGTCACTGCATGACATTTAACTTCCAAAGGAGTTAATTCAGGTTTTTACAAAACTTTAGCAAAAGTCTGTGCTGTAGGTGTTTTTTGTATTATAAGGAATTTTGAATTAGTGCTAAAAATTAAAATGTTTTGAATCTGTGCTAAAATTGTGCTAAAAACTGAAATGTCTTGAAAAACATTTTTCTCTCAAGGTATATTGGCTTTATTTGCATATTTATATCAGGTCTATTTTAAAAACCAAAAAAAAAGCCCCTTGAAAATACTAGGCACATAACATTTTACTAAATTTTTTCTTTTCCTTTTCTTTCTTTTCTTCTTTTTGTTCTTGTTCCTTTTTTTTCTTATCAAAGTAAAAAAAAATACCACCAAGGAGGCACTCAGTGTATTAAGAGAGTGTATTGAATATACATATTTATGTGTAATTTAATAAGATGTGTAAATACTAGTGAACTTATTTATTTATTTATTTTTTGGCTAGGCAATGGGGTTAAGTGACTTGCCCAGGGTCACACAATTAGTAAACGTTATGTGTCTGAGGCCAGAATTGAAAACCGGTCCTCCGGACTCCAGGGTTGGTGCTCTATGCACTGCACCACCTAGCTGCCCCATGAACTTAATTTTTTAAATAGAGTTCAAATTTAATTTTGGTGACTTTTAGAAAGGGAAGGGGTAGAAACACATCTTCTAGGTTTAAGCACAACAAGTACATATGCTTTACAGGATATTTAAAATGTTTTTACTTTCAGAGAGCAAATTCCAATTTTTAATTCTTGCCACTGAAATTATTTAATCAAAGCTCTGCTCACAAGGCAATAATTGTAACCTCTCCCTGATGACTTGCTCCTTAAAAAAATGAGGGAGGGTTCTGTGTGTGTACAAGTAATGGAGGTTTTAAAAACCACATATTTGTAAATGTTTCTAATATAATTCTGTTGTGTATATGATAACTCTATGATAAAAGTATTTTCAATTTTAAAAAAAAAACTGAAGCTTTTTTCTACAAATCGAGTTTAGTGATTTATTTTATTACAAATTTTAGTCAAAAGAGAAAATTGTATTC